CCACTATATATATATATATATATATATATATATATATTGTATACAATGAGACCATTTATTTTTAATACAAGGAGGTCACAATTGTTTATAACCATCTGATATGAAATCTGATAGCTTGGGATTGTTGCAAAGTTCGAGAAAATTTCTTTTGAACTTTGAGTTTGATCAATGAAATAACTGCAGCCATCGAATTTCACATCCAATAATCTAGATTAATTGTAACCACCTTATACCAAAAATAAATGGTCTCATTGTATACTTTCCCCCCCACACACACACACACACATATAAATATATATAGATATATATATATGAAAAATCTTAAAAATACCTATAGGTGAAATGCTGAAAAACCTTAGAAAAGCCTATAAGCGAAATTCTACAGTGCTTCGCGACCGCCACGAGCTTGCTATGTCCATGGTGGTTTATTGAACGGATTGATTCCACAATTTTTTGACCATCACGGATCTAGTATGTACCGCAATGGATATGCTAGGCCTTTGGCGATCAAAAAATACACGCAGCCCGATTTTTTCGGACGGTGATGAGCCTATGGGCGATATCACTATTCATTTTCGCCCATAGATATTGCGTAGTGTCTTCTATATATATATATATATATACACACACAAAAAATTCATGGAAAAAGGGTGTTCTAAAGCCTGAGCATCCTGAAATGATCATGTCGACGTTGAAATGTATAGATACAAAGAAATAGAAGGATCTTATATCCCAAAACTAGTACTTCAGTTTGTTAGGACTTTCCATTATCAAATTGGCCATTTATTTCCTTTTAAATTTCATAATTAAGGGCACAAACAAATTTTCAGGTCATCATTAGATTTGGAACGCTAAAGCTGCATCCCCTCGATTTTCGACCCTAAAACTTTTCTTTGATTACTTTTCTTTTGATGACCACACAAACACTGGAACCTTGGTCTCCAAACTCCTACCTTCCATCCTCATTTCTACCTCAAATCATGACTATAGTTCTAAGTTTTGAACCCTTATTAAGAGTTGATTTCATGATGCAGGGTTCACAAATGAGACACCTCTCTCTGCCTGCTGTGGACGTGGTGGCCACTACAACTTCAACTTCATAAATTGGTGCGGCCACTTAGGGGTGCCAGTGTGCAATGACCCATCCTCACATGTGAGCTGGGATGGAATCCATCTCACTGAAGCCGCATACAAATCCATGGTCCAATCGTTGCTTTGTGGTGGTCTCACCTACCCACACATTGAGCTTCCCCCATCTACTTGCCCTAAATGAAAAAGAAGAGATGGAAGAGTATGAGTTATGAGGTTTCTTTTTTGTTAATATGAAGCATGAGGCGGCATGTTACCTTTTTTATTTTTATTTTTATTTTTATTTTTATTTTTTATTTATTTATTTATTTTTTTCTGATTCGAGTGAATTTTCTCAGTTTTAAATAGACATAGAAATAGGATTGTGTTATTGGAATAGTATGAAATTAATATCTTGGTGGAAGGAAAGTGAAGTCGGGTAGTATTGGTTTAGCTTAAACAGTAGAAGCTTATTACAATGCAGTCTGTAATCTATTTATGTATATTGGAAATATTTTATGTAAGGTTGAAGTCTTTAATTGTCAAATAAGGTGTGTTGTGTGTGGAAGATCTAAACTCGATGGGTTGATTTTTGACAAATAAAGTACGATAAATAACACATGAAATACATACACAAGAACACAAATATTTACGTGGTTCACCCTAGAAGGGTTACATCTACGGGTACGGCAAACTGAAATCCACTATACCAATAAAAGTTACATCAAATATTTTGGAACAAACCTCGACAAAAACACAATCAAGCAGACCCTTTTAAACCACTCTCCCTTCCTACTCTTTACTTCTGACAACTATTACCGACAACATCCAATGACGTGAGAGCAATGAGAAACTGAGTTTCTCTCTAACTAGAAAGGAAAACAACCCAACATCTCTATAGGAATTGCTTCTCAACAATAAACCAACCTCTCAATCTTCAAGAGTCTTCAAGAGGCACCATCAATATTTCTCTCCATATGAAACTTTCTTCTCTCTAAAAGGAAACCTTGCATCTTATTGTTTACAGGAAAATCCCTCAGATCCCTAGCACAAATTGATTTTAAAAGTGATAAAGACTGGGGAAAATCAAATTTTGATATGAGGTTAGATCTATTAAAAAATGAATAGATCCGCTCTCATATCAGTGGTAAAGCCAGCATCGATCCAAAACGCACGAAAGATTGAATAACAAAAAGAATAAAATAATAAATCTAACAAAGTAAATGAAAACTAAGAGAAAAACAGATGATGAGGAAAATACCTAGCCATGCCAGATGGCCTGAGGCACCCAAGGCTTCGAAACCTCGACCGTATCAGAACCACAGTCGTGTACGTGTGTCCTATGTTGTTCTCTCTTCAAACTTGACCAAACCTTGGCTTGGTTGAACTAGAGTTTTACTAATCTAAGCTAGAAATTGGTTTCAGAGGAGAGGGGGCTAGGATTAAGGTTGCTTCTCTAGATCTAGGTTTTCTCACGATTTTCTTCTTGGGCTCTCTCTATCTGTCAGATTTCTTAGCCTACCGGTGCATAAAGTCCAACATTAAATGTGTCACAAAATGTGCTTATATAAAGGCTCAAATCGTGCCAAAATGGATATATATCAATTTTAAGCAGATTTACAAGCCAAATTTCTAATTTGGGGGTCAAAGGGAGCCTAAATCTGACCAAAATTCGCAGTTTTTTACTTTGAGGTGAGTCACGTATTTTTGTGATATTGTCTACCAAAAATCAAGTAAAAATAAGCTATTTTGCTATTTTTACATGATTTATTACTAAAATAGTGGTTCTACAAGATTCTGGATCACAGGATAGGAATCATGAACTATGATGGTCTTTGGCCCGGGGGATTACTGGGATAGTGTAATCCTAAGGATGTCTATAGTTTAGAAATCCAATGAATTTACCAGATTTCAAAATGGACTGTCTACAATTGCCCCTTTTTGGCTCGCCCTATGCTTCGAGGGACAGGTGGGTATCAAAAAAGTAGTCACTACTGACATTTTAATTTATCTGAAGTCACATGATCATAGGGAACGCCAATTTTCCCTCCCAGACAATGTTGTCCTCGCTCACCCACCGAGGGTATTTTCACCCTAGGGTTTTCGGTGTGAGATGTTCCGGTGATTTACACAAGCTTGGACTCGAGTTGGATTTTCTGGCCATGTCACTAAACTTTGGAGGTTTTCACTTTTAAATTCTTGAACTTGATATTTCCTTTGATATCTTTAGGGTTTCATAAGGTCGTCTATAGGTTTTACTTGTTTTAGATAATGTTTGCTTGATCAATTCTGAAGAGAGAGATGAGGCGGTAACGTGGTAACCATCATATACGGGTGTCCAAGGTCCTTCGTTTTAAAAGATATTTTATAAATTTTAAAAATAGGGAGAGATTTGAAATAGAACTTATAACTTGGACAAATCATGATTTGAACAAAGAAATTAAAGTTTTTTAAAACACAAACATATAGAAATTTTTTGAAAAGAGGTAGATATTTTGCTTAGCAGTTTTAACTCTTGCAACCATAGAGCCCTCTAAGCAGTTTAACATCATATAACGATAGACGGATACACCGACCCTTTACATCATACGGGGCTAGACGGATACACCCGACTTTTTATGTCATACGGGGCTAGACATTTTCTCAATACACTCAAATTTTAAAGTCATAAGGGCTTAGATGTATACACAAGACCTTTTACGTCATAAGGGCTTAGACGTTTTTTAAATACACCCAACCTTTAACATCATACGGGATTAGACGGATACACCCGACCTTTTATGTCATATGGGGTTAGACATTTTGAACTAAAATGTGGTTGGCAATTTAGACGCATGCCACCAAGGAGCAAATTTCTTTATTTTTTACCTTTTTCTTTTTTGGAAATGAAAGGTGTTTCTTTTGAAATTGGCTGGCACTTTAGGCTCGTGCCACCAAGGAGCATCTGATGGGCTGTCTGAGACTAATTTATTTCATAATCATTTGAAAACAGTTAATTTCATAAATAAAATATATGAAGATAGATGATTTTGGATCTTGGAATACCCTGGAACTCGAGCAAGGGAATTTTTGTCCAAACAAATTTGGACGACACGTCTTGTGTCATCTAAACCGGGCGTACGAATCTAGGCAACACACCCTGTGTCTCTCAAGCCACCGACCATCGAATCTCCAATTTTTTATTTTGGAAGGTATTGGGGTTGCCTAATCCTCCTGGATCTTGAATTTCGAACCTACAAGTTGGTTTTTTGGATAGGATTTCTCATATCCTCCATCTTCATTTTCTCCCTTCTTCTTTTCATCATCATCTTCTTCCTTCTTATTCTTCTACCTGGTTTTTCATGGCTCCTAAGAAGAATACTAACCTTTCTAAGGGTAAGGGAAAGAGTGCAGATCAAGCTGATGATAGGAGAGAGGGAGAGGGTATCCCTCCTTTATCTAAGGTTAAACATTTTCTTGAGGGTCTACCTTTCCATATTTTGCAAATCCTAAGAACGAGTGATGCTCGTCAGCAAGTTTAGGGTTATCCTATTATCATCCATTGGTTCAGGGTTTGGTTCCTCTCTGCTCAGCAATGGCCTGAGCTTATGGCCTTTCTGGCCTCAATTTCAATTGTGGGTATCGTGATAATGGCATTTTGCTATGTGAATTTTCCCCTCCTTGAGGCCCTTGCCGAGAGATTCAACTTTCAGATCAATACCTTCTTCCTCCCTATAGTTGAGACGACTCGTACTTTGGAGGAGGCTACTAGGATATCTGGCTTGAATATGTCTGGTATTACGATGATAGACGATCATTCCTTCTTAGGTGCATGATTGTTGAGGGCTACCAACTCTTCTCATGGTGGTTGGGTTGACATGGAATCATTGGTCCTTAATCGAGAGTGATGTCGTGCCGTCGAAAAAATCTGCATCTTTCTCTTTGTGCTTTTGGGGTAGGTCCTATTACCGAGTGGTCGGAAGATCGTTCGTAGTTCTCTCATCCATGTAGCCCATGCATTCTAAGAAAAAGCAGGTTACACCATTATTTCCATCGTGTTAGCGGGCATATACCGGGGTCATCACAATCAAGTTACCCAAGGCGACTGATTTATCAAGTACAGTGTCCTGATCTTGCAGTTGTGTTCCCGAACTCAATCTTTTACTTTGTTTTTGCTTCTAAAATTCAGTCAAGCGACACTAGTAGTGACGCCAAGGACGGTCTAGGCGACACTAGTAGTGTCGCCTGGGTCATCTTGCCTCGGATGATTCCGAAGTCCTGAATTTTAGTTCCTGACATTTTGGGGTGTTTTAGCTCCTGCTTTCCACATATTTGGGCCTATGAGTACATCACAGTTGTCCGTCTTCCTTGATCCATGATAGTTGTATCTGCTGCTCTGGTATATATCAGTGATACCACCTAGCCTCGCGATATCAATCATTATCACAGAATATTTGACGATGAGTTGTCGTTTGATTGGGTAATCGGGGGTGTGGAGAATGTGCCCCTGTTTCTACTGCCTATGAGGTATTCGTGTCTCCTCTTGGCAAGCCAGTACTTCACAGAGGGCTATTTCCCTCAAAGGGCTCCTAGAGAGGCAATTGATCATCACCCTCTCTTTCCACTTCAACAACACTCTTCCAACCTTCTAGTTAAAGCAGGATTATCGTGGAAAGAGAAGAAACCTTCTTCTGACGAAGGGCCGATCAACCAAGACAAACCCAATACCACTTCCAACTATGATTCCTGGTAGGAACGTGCATGTCCTCTTCCACTATGCTCTAGGGCTCCGAGACTTCGTGGTGAATCTTTTGCCCCTACTCAAAAATTTGTGCCTTCATTAGATGACGATGCATCTTCTTCAAATAAGCGAGTCAAATCCAATGATGTTGTGTCCGACATCAGCTTGAAAGAAGCTGAAGTTGAATTGGCTCGATGGTTGGCCATTGTGGCGGACCTCAAGGAGCAGGATGTTGATCCCAAGTCAAAGACTGAGTAGTCGTAGTATCTTTTTTTTTTGGTTTGAATAAGTTGATCTCATGTTCACCGTTCTTTTTCAGTAGTTTTATTTCCTTTGAAGTTTGTTAGAACAGTAGAAATTTCGGTCTCAAGGCCAGATTTGATTGCGTGAGTGCATGTAATAAACCAATTTTCAATGGATGAATAAGATCGGTATTTTGAGATATCCAAATTTTTATATTCGGTTTTGATTGAACCTCTAGAACTCTAGAGGCCTCCCTGTTTTAAAATTTTAAAGTTTTTTTTTTGGGCCGCACAGGCTGCGT